ATCACTAAGAGAATAAAGTTTTGGAGCACAAAGCATTTACCTTATGCTGGCGGAATCAGCTGGTGAACTCAGTCCTTATGTCGATGAATTAATATCCCAAATAATAAGAGTTTGCAGGGAGTTTTTATTGGGAAGGACAGAAAATTGAAGCAAAATGGAATTGGTTGCTTGGGAGAATGTTTGTAAACCTAAAAAAGAAGGGAGACTGAATATCAAGGATCGTAGAATATGGACTCTGGCTGCTGTTGCAAAGAAAATCTGGGATATACTCACAGAAAAGAATGCACTGTGGGTCAAGTGGATTCATGCATATTATTTGAAAGGAAGGAAGCTTTGAGAGTATAAACCATCAAATGATTGCAGCTGGCATTGGTGTTAACTTATGAAGATCAAGCTGAAACTTTAAGAAGGGATATGGAAGAAGGGGAAAAAGGAGTACAATGAGAAATCAGGCTACAATCACTGGAGAAGCAAAGGCCAACAGTTTGTAGTAGCAACTATGGTTTGGAATAGAATATGTATACCAAATCATAGCTTTATTACTTGGCTTCCATGGCAGGAAAGAATTTTAACAGTGGAAAGAATGCAAAGGTTGAACCTTAGGATCACACAGAATGGTTGTGTCTTACGTGGGGAGGCTGTAATAGAGAACAGTGATCACATGATCTTTGAATGTGGATATTCTGGAATGATGCTAAGGGATCTGATGGTTGGCTGGGAATTAAACTCAGAGGAGTGAAGCTAAAGCAATTGCAAGAAAAGATACACTATGGCTGTCAGTATAGGAGAGTCAAGGAAATATAGGAAATAGAGCTGTTCCGGCATGTGTTTATGGTATCTGGATTGAAAGGAATGCCAGGAGGTTTGAGCAGAAACACAGAACTGTAGGAGAGACAGTTGTATGCATTAAACAGGAGCTGAACTGGAGGATACAACATACATGTAAAAAAAATTAAAGCAGCTGATTTAGAATATTTAGAAGGCGTCGAAATCAATGTATAGATGCAGGAAGAAAATAGGTATAAAATAGGAAGATGGAACAATGATGTACATGTAAGCGAGTACAAGTTATGCAATATAATTCACAATTTACCGAAAAATATAGATATTTTTTCTTCAAACCAAAAAAAAAAAAACGAAAAAAAGATAGTGGCTTAGTGAGGAGGTCCAATACTTGATCCGTGGTTGAAATAGAAAGCACAGTTACAAATTTATTGGTAACATGTTGTCGGAAAAAATAGAAATCAACCTTCATATGACGAGTTTGAGCTGCTAAACTGGATGGGAGGCTTGAAAAACCACGCCATTGTTGTCGCACCAAATAGACGGCGGTTGTCGAAGAAAAACTCCCAGTTCTGTGAGATTATAAATCCAATGAAGCTCAACATATACATTGGCAATGGCTTGGAACTCTGCTTCAGTGGAGGATCAAGCAACAGTTTGTTTCTTTCTGAATGCCAAACAATAAGATTATGACCAAGATAGACAAGAAACCCTATTGTAGAGCGCCAGTCATCCAGGCAACCTATCCAGTCCGCGTCGGTAATGCCTAGAGGGAACGCAAATCAGAAGGTTTAATGTAGAGGCCATGACCAATAGTACCAAGCAAATACTTCTAAATGCCTTTGAGAGCTTGAAGATAGTTCTGCACGGCTAATGCATGAACTGGCACAATTTATTGACAGCAAAACAAATGTTGGGACGAGTCAATGTGGCATACTACAGAATGCCACAAATGCACCTATAAGTGGTAGTTTTGGCGGGAGACAGAAGGGTCCCATCTAATTTGGAAAGAACAACGTTGGCCTGCGTAGGAGTGGATAAAGATTTACATGTACTCATGTTAGCTGTCTTGAGAAGATCAATCAAATACTTCCATTGAGACAAGTATAGTCCACTCGAAGTGCGGACAACCTCAACACCCAGGAAATAGTTGAGAGGACCAAGATCCCGAATTGAAAATTCATGAGCAATTCGGTTGATGAAGTGTTGCACAACGGCTGTGGAGGATCTTGTGAGAATAATATCACCAACATAAACTAACAAGAAACACACGGTGTTAGTCTTTTTATGCACAAATAATGATGGATCACAGCGAGAGACCATGAAACCCAAGGATCGCAAAACATTATAGCAAGGCGCAGAACCATGCTTGCGGTGCTTGTTTAAGGTCGTAGAGGGATTTTTGAAGTTTACAAACATAACTTGACCGATATAGATCAAAAATCCCTATGGTTGAACCCGTTTCATTTAATTTTCCATTGAGAAAGGCGTTGCTAACATCGAATTGTGAAAGAGGCCCATTAAGGGATGCAACAACCGCAAGGACAGTGCTAATTGTTATGGATTTGATCACCGGACGAAACGTATCCGTGTAGCCGATACCCTGAGATTGAGTGAATCCTCGAGCCACAAGGCAAGCCTTGTACCGCTCTACCATCGCTTAAGCATGGTGTTTGATTTTGTAAAGCCACCGATTTCAACCAACATTTCCCCGACGAAGGAGGAGAGATCACCACCATGGAAATGACCATCGCCGTCGCGTGTGGGTTTGGGATCAGTGGCTTGAGCGAGATTAGCAGAAAGAAGAAGTGTCAGTTGCTGCGCTTTGAACAACAATTCACAGGAGACAAGTTGACCATGGAGATCTTGGAAACTTGCTGGACCAGATTACTGCTGGAGTGCACCAATGATTCCATTGTAGTCAGAGACAAACTTTCAAAAAATAATGACACTAAACTCAGCGGGCGAGATTATATGACCGGTCATAGCCAAAGAATCAATGATGGATTTGGCTTTATGGAAAAAGGCAGACACCGGCATGTCATCTTTGGAAAGGTTAGGGAGTTCAAGAATGAGTTGGGTCTCTTGAGCATAAGAGAGGGTGTCGTAACTGTCAGCAAGAGCTTTCCATGCCTGAGCATACGTGGAAACACCCTGAAGTATAAGGGTATATGCCTTCAGAGATCAAAGACAAGAACTAAGAAAATAAAAGTTGATCCTTTTGATGCCATTGGGAAGGGTCGCCGAAAAGTCAGTTTCCGGCAAGGTTCGGGATGAGCTTCCATGAATAACAGTTGGCGGAATCCTCTCCGTACGGAAATCTCCAAATCTTAGTGGTGTCTTATCCTAAATTTGACAAGTTGATGGATACCAGCTTGTCAAATTTAGGCTCGGGTGGATGGAATTTTGGTAATAATGAAAATAAAAGAAGGAAAACGGAAATATGAAACTCTGATAATTTCTCGATAAGATTTCCAAATGGCAGTTACAGAAAATTATAGCCATGACTTTCGTATTTACTCCACAAGGTTTGACTTGTGTAAAAACTATCCAAACTTACAGCAGCTTTATTAATTTAATTAGTAATAAATAAGTCTATCAATATCTGAAACACCATAAATACTGACCATAATAATTTAGACCCTTAACTTTCAATTAATTCCTCCTTCGACTGACCAATTTGTGACAGTATCAGAGACGATTTTAATCCCGTGGAATTTGACCAACCTGCCAGTTTATCCGGAAAAAAATTAAACCCTAAATGGGCCTTCAAACCAACACACACAAAAAAAAAAAACCCAAAAGCCAAAATGAGTCTTCAAGCAAGCCAAAAATAATCCTGAAATAGGTTTCAATAGTTTAAAGGGACCTTGTCTAATCTTTTGGGCTTGAAGATGTTAAAATCCCCTTTGAACAAAAATAGGTGAAAGACATTTGTCCTACATGGAAAGATTGAGACACTTGAAACCAATATATAAACCTATATGCTATTACTTTAATTGTCAATTGGTTTTGAGACGGAATTATACGTGAGCTTATAAAAACAGAAAAAATGTACTGAACATAATGGTATCTATAAAAATAGTGAATAAACCGGGTAATTATGGCCACATACTGCACTTCGTGCGGGGGCCAAAAGAGGTACCAAAAGGACACCTTCAACTTGACATTTAGGATAAGAACTATTTTCCTTTGTACCCTACTGCCCTTTATCCTCTGCGAATCACGTGAAAAAAGATTCATTTTCAATATTAATTTGATTTTGTCGCCCTGCCCTGATCTAGGCTGAAACTAAATGAGTGAGTGAATCTAAATATACAGTGGTAACATGCCGACATTGATACAGAACCTAATGGTTGCCCACGAAGCTAGGGGTTTTGCGCAACTAAAAATGTGTAGAGAGAACACAAAAGATCATTAGGTTTTCCAGGTTGATAATCTTAACACAAAGAAGTGTCCTATCCCGGAAGCATTAACTATTATCAAACAAATTAATCTCTTTCTCTGCTTTAATTGCTTGCAAATGTGATTTTAGTTATAGACATTTATAACTTGTACTCTCCCTGTCTAAAAATCATTGTTATGTTTATTAAATTTTTATTTTTAGCAAAATTCCTATCCAAACCAAACATTATTATTTCAAGACGGATGGAGTATGTAAGTTGATTTTTGTTTTGAAGTTTGAACTCCAAAAAACTAGAGGGTAACTTTGCCATCGACCATTGTCATTGATGTAAGATGGAGGTACATTTCTGGTGCTGGGAGTAACTCAACTTATAAGTCAAACAAATAAGATGAAAAATAGAAAAACAAAAAGAAAAAAGGAATATTTTTAGTTTTAGGACTACTATTATTATTATATGATAGCTGTGCGAAAAAGATAAAATGAAACCTTATCGCTTCATTAATACTTTATTTTTTAATTAAACCAGGCGAGTACCTGGGAAATATATAAATAACCAGAAATATATTTAGGGTAGTGCTTAAAACTTACCCTATACAAGAGACCTTAAAAAAGACGGAGATTTAAATATCAGTAAATACACCGATACTTTCAAAAGATAACTAATTAGACCTATACAAAACTATGTCTAATGTCCGGTATTTTTCGGACTTTTCAGAACTATTTTCTAGTAACTCAATAAAGAAAAACTACAGGCTAAATTTTCAGTCATCGTGATTCGGTTCTTTCGGATCACAGATCTGAAGTGCCGCGTTTAGTGGGCATAGGGAGAGTCCAAATCTGTGAGTGATATACCAGAAAATTGAACACTGTTACTTCCAAAAAGAGTCACTAAAATATAATTCATTTGAATCTGAACATGAACCAAACATATAAAATAACCGTATAAACCAATTTGGTTTGTTTGTAATTCAAACCGGCGAACCGATATGTACCGACTCACCGGGTATTGAGGATCGGCGAACCGGTTTCTGAGAGTTGGCCGACGAAGTGGCTGTGTAACAGGGAGCCGGAGGTCTGGCTTTGGGAATGGCTGGCAAAGCTGGTTTGATGGTGGTGACAGCTGTGACGGCTGCCGACTTGCAGCAGCGGATGGATGGTGGACCTCCGTAGCGTCGGGCTTCTTGCTGGAACTAAGATCTGAGTCTCGATTTGCATCTGTCAAGACAGCATAGGGGGCGGCCGGATGCATTAAGCCTAGGTGCGGCAGCTGCTTCTTCTAGAGATCGAGGTGGCGAAGAGAGGAGCGTTCTGGCAATGGCAGCAAAATCAGATCTAAGTAACAATTCAGACTGCGGCAGTCAACACTGCCAGGCAATTAATCCATGACCAACGATCCCAGGACAGTGCCTGATCTGCATCAACAACGACTTTTCTTCGTTGGTTCGTCTGGAGCCGGTCGTCGAATTAATTGGTGATCGCTAGTTTGGTTATATTTGAGCAAAAGAGAAAAAATATAAAATAAAGGGAAAATTTGACTCCCCCAACTATTTTTGTTGGTGGTTGGAGGAGGAAAAAGGTATTGTTGTGGGTGGTGGATGTGTGGGAGAGAGGGAGGAGAGAATTAGGTTTTTTCGCTTCATTAATACATAATTACAAAGAAAAAAGAAAAATGATACTTTTGACGGAAACAGTTTCCAATTTTAAGTAATAAGAATTTGTGTGCATTTTTAAAAGATCCAGAGATCGAATATAACCAAAAAAAAAGAACAATCATTTCGTACTACAAATAAAAAGCATATACTTAATTAAGCTCAACTATATGAAAACAAAGTTATAGTTGAACTAGTTATTGTGCCTTAGGTATAAGACTAAAAGAGTGCAATTATAAATAAACAAAATATCACCTTGCATAACAATAGGATATGCATGAATCTGAGGTCTGAGCTCAACTATAAATACAACGTATTATATGTGCCCTTTCATTCAAAATCCTACTTAGGTTAGATCACAAACATAAACATGGCAACTCCTTCAACAATGTCTCAATTCTCCTTGAATTGTCTCTTTTTCCTTTCTTTAACACCTGTGGTGTTCGCAATTGTTCCTTCTTCCTCTGTTTCTTCCATTCAACTTGAATTTTGGTCCAAAAATGTCCGCAATGCCATGCCTAAAACCAGTTCATCCAAACTATCACCACTCTCTCAACACGACTCAAATTAATTATTTCGCTTCGTTACTACAATCAACACAAACATTCTCTCCTGATTGTGACAAATTCTGCTCAAAGGCAAATTTAGCCTGCCCAACAACATCTCAGAGCCTTCTTCAAAAAGTTAAAAATGGGTACTACGAATACGGCGCTATTAGCATAGCTCATGCCTCAGATAAAGCTGATCCCAACTCTTTCTTTAGGCTCTCAATCTTCAAGAAGGGAAACAAAATCCAACTATCAAATTTGAATGATTAAATCCCTTTTAGTTCATTTCTTCCTTCTCAAATTGCATCTAAAATATCTACCACTAAGCCTATTGATCTTAAGAAACTGTTTCCAGAATCATTTACTTCGGTTTCAACTAAAGAGGCCATAAAAACAAGCATTCAGTATTGTAGCTCTGCTAGCTTGAAAAGTGATATTAAATCATGTCTCAATTCCCTTGAGGAAATGATAGAATTCTCCAAGAAATCTCTGGGTGAGAAGAAACTCATTGCATTGACTAGCCAAAGCACAAAAGGGTCGGAAAAGGAGCTCGAGATTCAACACATCAAACAGTTTCGTGCCGAAAAAAGTTGTGTCGTGTCACGAAGTTTTCTATCCCTTTGCTACTTACTTTTATCATTGGCTTATTGAGAATCCCAGTCCTACATTGGTGCTAGGACAAAGTGAGTATTAATATAAAAGTACATGCGCTACTCTCTTCATTACCAATTGGTTTTGAGGTGGAATCTCATGGTTTTTTGCATGATATCACAGACAGCCTGCCGATATTCGGACTCCACAAAGCCCAACAAAAAAAATAGGGATGAGATGTGAGGTGGTGTACGAGATGAAAAAAATAGGGCAAGCACAACCCAAAAAATATGTTGGGCTTGCCGGGGAGTATTAAAGAGTCTCAATCCCACATCTGTGTTGGGCTACTCCCCTCATTGTCAATTGGTTTTGAGGTGTAACCTCATGGACTTCTGTATGGTATCAGAGCCAGCCCCCGACATTCGGATTCCAAAAAGCTCACAAAAAATAGGCTGAGACGTGAGGCGGTGCCTGGGCTGAGAAAAAGCAGGCCAAGCCCAAGCCAAAAAGTACGTTGGGCTTGCGGGAGAGTATTGAGAATCCATGTCCCACATTGGTGCTGGGAGAGATTGAATATCAACATAAAGGTTCATGGGCTATTTCCCTCATTGCCAATTGGTTTTGAGGTGGAACCCCATGGGCTTTTATATGGTATCAGAGTCAGCCCACCAACATTCCAACTCAAAAAAGTCCAATAAAAAAATAGGGTTGAGACGTGAGGCAGTGCCTGTACTAAAAAAAAAAACAGGCCAAGTCCAACCTAAAAAATACATTGCGCTTGTGGAGGAGTATTAAAAATCCCAGTCCGACATCGGTATTGGGAGAGACATGATATCACTATATAAATAAATGGGCTACTCCCCTCATATTCAATTGGTTTTAAGGTGAAACTCCATGGGTTTCTGTACGGCTCTCCACTAAACTCTATGCCGTTGGTTTCGTCGACCCGGTGAACAGGCTATTGGCAATATGTCACATGGATACGTTGGAATGGCCCATGGAACATATGGCGTTTAAGGTTTTGAAAATCTCTCCTGGACGTGGAGAAGCGTGCCACTGGTTCACACAAATTGATCTTGTTTGAATTGGAAGTAATTAATCGAGAAAAGATATTTTGTAGCCAGCGAAACTTAATTAATCCTTTTAAGTGTTTATTGGAAATGGAGATCTCAATGGTTTGTAATATATGCATAAAAATCTTGGTTTATTTTGTTTGTGTTAACTACGTACCCCTAGCTCTTTTTCCAGTTTGTAAGTAAAGTCTCTTTTTATCGTTTGTTACAATATTAGATCTTTTTGCTCCATTTCAGTCGAAAGGAAGTGAAGAGCCAGCAAATTGTAGCAAATGATTGGAAATATATTTAATCCTTCGTTTTGAAGATGGCAAACATGTGAACTGTGAGTCTGTGATCAACGGATTTGTGGGTCATCCGACTTCAGACAAATGACGACATAAGAGGTTCCGTAACTGACTCAAACTATACATCGATTCAATAATGACAGTAACTACCTATACATACCAATCAATGAGAAATTTTGTTAATGATGAAGTATGCAACCCTCTACATTACTCACACTTTAATCCTACGTCTGGTACACAAAAAGATTTCCATGAACTAAGCGTTAGATTTGGCTTTGGAGTCTGGATTCCATGAACTATAATTAAGCCTCTTTTGTAGTTCATCGTAATATTACTCACACTTTAATTTTACGTCTGATAGTCGCTTGATTTGTTGTTTGTATGGTAAAAGCCCGAAAGATAGACTTTTTACTTTTGAGTTCGAGATTTTCTACAAGCAAGAGTTGTATACGAATGATTCGGAGAATAGCATGGCTTTGAACTGTCCCTTTTTTCTGGGCACACTTTTGTCCATTTTTGCGTCTAGTTGCCTAAAAGTTGAAGAAAACAGCCTCCACATTGAAACGTTAAATAATACAAACCCATATGCAATGGGGTATCGCCAAAATAAATATCTTCAAAATAAATTACATGAAAGGAGAGTGGCTAAATACAATTGAAGCAAATACTTTACATATATCAAGAGCTAATAAACCCGTTGGATGGACTTAATTAGGTAAAGTTGCCTCAAGAATCAAAGGATTTTTCCTTCTAACAACACTACTAGGAACTTCATCCATGTCTAAATCCTCCATGTTTGCTCCACCGGGCAATGCAAAATCGAATCTAAGTATTAGATTCGCAAGGGCAACTTCAGCTACAGCCAAGGCAAATGCGATTCCTGGACAACTTCTCCTTCCGTAACCAAAAGTGAGCAACTCAAAATGTTGTCCTTTAACGTCAATGGAAGTGTCCAAGAATCTTTCGGGTTGAAAATCATCGCTATTTTCCCACAAAGAAGAGCTCCTTCCGATTGCAAAAATATTGGTGAACACTTGGGTGCCAGCAGGAATATCATATCCCATGATATTGATAGCGTGCTTGGATTCTCGAGGAAGTGACAGCGGACCCGGAGGATGCATACGACATGTTTCTTTAATTACTGCTCTTAAATAAGGGAGTTTTTCTAAATCATTCTCTGTTATTTGGTTCAATTTTCCATCTGATAATCGCCTCACCTCATCTTTTAGTTTAGTCATAACGTTTTCATTTTTCACTAATTCGGACATTGCCCACTCTAAGAGTGTCGATGTCGTATCTGTTCCAGCAGCGAACATGTCCTACAAATAAACTTCCAAGATTAGTAAACCATGTAATGTACTCAATCAATTTATACTATTATTTCTTACTATTTTATTCATCTCATAACTAGTTTTATTTGATAAAGAAAATATTTTAGGTACTTCAATTGAATATATTCTGGTATTTAATTTCTTAAAATTTTAATTAATCATATCATGTAAAAGAAAACAAAATGAAGTTGAAAGAGATGGCTCTAATCATTAAAAAAGAGTTCATAAAAAGAAAAAAAAAAGGAAAAAAAAATCAATAAGAAGAACAAAGGAAGAAAGAAAAGAAATGAAGCTACTTCCTTCTCCCAAGAAAAATAATTTATATTAAATTTTCAAATTTATATAAAAAATTTAATATACTATTTTCAGTTCAATGGGGACAAAATTTCAACAAATTTTATAGTTTAAAAATGATAATTTTGTGCGAATGAAGCCTCAAAAACAAACTCATTGATGTACCCATTTTGAATTATAAAACTAGTAAAAACTGTAATACATACGTGTGTCTGTGCAGTCCCTTTGAATAAGTCAGACGAGTCATAGATTAAACTCTAACCCTAATGGGTTTGGGTGGGCTATCTTGGAAGTTAAGTCACCGACTAAACCTAATTTGATTAGGTTTAGGGAAACAGGCAACACCACCTCTATATAAAGAGGTGGTGCCTCCCTCATAATTGATATCTGATACACGTATCTTCTACCTCTCTTCCTATTCTTTCTATCCTTTTATTGACTTAAGCATCGGAGCATCTACCCTCTGGAGACACCCGAGGCTCTGTCTTGCAAGTTTTAGGCCGTCCGCCGCCGCCTAGGTCATCATCGCCGCCCGTCCTAAGTACCGTACAATTCCATGCTTCGTCAAGTGGCACACCCAGTGGGACTCATTTTGTTTGGTCTTCACAACTAAATAAATTTCTTGAAGCGAAGGTGGAATTTTTTTGGTACTTTACGCTGCGTAACGTCACCAACATCATGGCGCAAGAAAAACAAGAAACAACTGCTAATGCTTCTGAAAAAGACAAGCAGGCCACTACGATAGCATCGAACGGCAGCTCATGGTCGACAATCTGAGTACCTTCTCGAGAGAGGGCGAGTCAAACCCTAGGGGCACTTCTCGAGGAGATCACCTGGTAACTCGAGAAGATACTCGTCCCCCTCAAATGAGCGTACGTCTGCCTCAAGTACCCTCAACCATCGAGGAGCAGCTGCGCAAGGTTCTCGGATCTGAAGGAGACGACGAGGCCGGCGAAGATGCTATCGATTTCCATCCGAACAACCCGAAGAATAAGCCGACAAGGGACAATTTTATCTTATGGTTGATTAACCCTAATACTTTTCTAATTTTACAGATAAGCTCTCAAGTTCTTCGAAGTAAGGGGCAATTTTGAGGATTGAAGTTTCGGGAGATACATCTCCTCGAAGAGGCAAGCATACTTTGAGCACAATAATACTCCTCGAAGTGTTCGAGAAAATGTATCTCGACTTTTATCTACTCAACTACTACCTTCTCGGAATCGAGGTAACACTTTCTCGAATAATTAATTTATCTCAAGATCGAGGTACATCTCAAACCTTTTTCAAAATACGTTTCTTGAATCTATATTCATATATTACTAATACCATTATTCTCCTTTTGAGTGAAATTGCATATCAACGAAAGACCTGCTAGTCGGGTACCGGGTTTAAATAAGACCTGCTAGTCAGGCACGACCCACGAAAACCATATCATGAAAGACCTGCTAGTCAGGCACCGGGTTTAAATAAGACCTGCTAGTCGGGCACAACCCACAAAGACCTACATAACAGGCAAAAAAGGCTTCTCCCCTTCAAATAAGAGAAAAAAGGCTTCTCCCCCTTCAAATAAGAGAATCTAGGCGTCATCCTCCTAATTCGGCATAAACAGGCTTCCCCCTGCTAATAAAGAACTTACTAACACAAAGACCTCCTCGAGGCATTCTACTCTCTCTATCTTGTATCGGTGACACCCAGGAACGAAACAGTTCGAGAATTAGGGGCAACATCACAAAATTCGAGAAGACTCAATACTCATAGCAACCCATATCCTTCTCACCAAATCTCAAGAATATGGCTTGCTAGGGGCACTTGACGAGTCATAGATTAAACCCTAACCCTAATGGGTTTGGGCCGGCTATCTTGGAAGTTAAGTCACCGACTAAACCTAATTCGACTAGGTTTAGGGAAACAGGTAACACCACCTTTATATAAAGAGGTGGTGCCTCCCTCATAATTGATATCTGATACACGTATCTTCTATCTCTCTCCCTATTCTTTTTATCCTTTTATTGACTTAAGCATCGGAGTGTCTACCCTCGGGAGACACCGGAGGCTCTGTCTTGCACGTTTTAGGCCGTTCGCTGCCGCCTAGGTCATCATCGCCGCCCGTCTTAAGTACCGTACAATTCCATGCTTCGTCAAAGTCCTACATAAAAATGCAACAATACTTCCAATCTTCTCTTTTTTTTCCCCGAAAATTAATAAAAATAATTCCTATCTAATGGCTAAAATATTCACAATTGACATACATATTTTATTAGAATAGTTGCAACTTGTATTTGTCAATTACGAATTTCTCTATAGTTTTGTTCTTGACGATAAAGCGTCACAGACATTACTTAAGGGGAAAAAAAAAATGTTAGATCTACTCCCATATGAAAGAGTAAACAAAAATGGAGGTAATATACGTGATACGAAAATGAAAAACTTACCAAGACAATCGCTTTAAGTGAATCACGTTGAAGAGCTAATCCAGCGGCAGATTTGTGTCGGAGATCCAGCAAGACATCCACGAAATTCTGCTGGTTTTTGTCCCCATCAATTGTCTCGGGCGCCTCCGACCGCCTCCGGAATGTTCCTTCTTCAAGTACAGCGTCAAAATATGCATCCAACTCTTTAGCCACCCTGTTCACTCTTGACTCCAAACCATTGATGCGATTAATCCATCCGAGCCATGGAATGTAGTCACCGACATTAAATGTCGCTACTAACTCCGTAAATTCCCCGAACGTTTTAGGTAGATTACCCCCACGTTTCTCTTCCGAATACCTCTTCCCGATGGATATCCTAGAAATAATGTCTAGAGTAAGTGTGGTTAGCATCTTGCTTAAATTTATGGGCGAGCGCGACAGTCTAGATTCTTCGATGTTTTTTAACATCAAAGAGATCTCATCTTCGCGCACGCTTCTAAATGATTGAACCCTCTTGCTACTAAGAAGTTGAAGAACACATATGCTTCGAACTTGCTTCCAATATTCGCCGTAAGGCGCGAAAGCGATGTCCCTATAATTGTATACAAGTCTTCCGACGAAGTTTGCTTTAGGCCTACTCAAGAAATTCTGACCGTGGGTTTTGAACACCGTTTCAGCTACCGCCGGAGATGAGATTATGAGTGTCGGTTTGCTTCCGAAGTGTAGAAGCATTATTGGGCCATACTTTTCAGCTAGTAACTTCAGTGAGCGATGGGGGAGGAAACCGAGTTGGTGAAGGTTTCCGATGATGGGAAGTTTTGGCGGCGATGGCGGAAGGTTTTTCCGGCCACATATTAGGCGTTGGAACAGGAAAAAAGTTATCAAAATAAGAAATGTTGGAAGAAGGATGGAGAGGAGCAATTCGCTACCGAATCCAAACACCGACATTTCCATTGCTCTCGGGTCTTGCTCCTTCCCAATTGATATTAAAATGGATACTTACATTCATCAAAAGAAAATAAAATGGACAGATTATTTTTTAAGGTACATAATCTACGGCTCCTATTTTTTTTAATACATAATTACAAATATCTAGTCTATTACATGTGGGGTGAATCCTATTGGGAAAAGGGTAATTCTATTAAGGGGGAGATTCCACGCGCGCACGCCTCGATCTGATATTCGGAAAGCCTTCCTGGCGAGTGCAAAATAACCTATACAACTCAACACACAAAAGTGTTGTTAGCGGGGTTTTAAGCTGGGACCTCTTGAGACCTCAGATTTTGATCCCATACCCACTACTATTTGGGCAACTTCTTGTTGGCCTACGGCTCCTATAAAATACAACAAATTAAATACTGTATTAAAATGAAAACGACGCGTTCAATATGGTTCAAAGTACCGCACCGGCTGCCTCTACATTTCTGCATCGTTAATTTTAAACCTCAGCGTTCAACGTCCAAATTCAGGATAACAATATGACATTGACAAGGCCTTTAAATATTCATGGTCCTTATAAAATATCATTAATTCATTTTAATATTTGCACACATCATTTCTTATGCAAGGCAGTTCGAACCTAGTACAAAAAATTGTACTCCCCGTCTCAAAATTATTTTTCAATTTGTATTTTTATTTTTAGTAGAAATTATACCACAAATGAAAATTTAAACTGAGGATAACAATATGACATTAACAAGGCCTTTAAGTATTCACGGTCCTTATCAAATATCATTATTCATTTTAATATTTGCACACATAATTTCTTATGCAAGGCAGTTCGAACCTAGTACAAAAAATTGTACTCCCCGTCTCGAAATTATTTTCCAATCTGTATTTTTATTTTTAGTTCAAATTATACCATAAACGAAAATTTAAACTGCGGATAACAATATGACATTAACAAGGCCTTTAAATATTCACGGCCCTTATCAAATATCATTATTCATTTTAATATTTGCACACATCATTTCTTATGCAAGGCAGTTCGAACCTAATACAGAAAATTGTATTCCCTATCTCAAAATTACTTTCCAATTTGTATTTTTATTTTTAGTTCAAATTATACCACAAATGAAAATTAAACTGAGTAAATCAGACAGTTCCGTCCAACAAGGTTTGTGATAAATGTGGAGCAACATACTTTGTTACTTACTAATCTAGCGTTTATGTCAATGTCCCACAATCATGATAGTGGTATGCATTACTGTACAGAAAATGCCTCAATAATTGTCAATATAAATTTGTTAAAGCCAGTTTTTCTCCTAACATAATATTTTAGTCATGGTCAATAAATAAATATATATATATATATATATATATATATATATATATATACTGGCACAAAGAAGGAGGCATTTGGCGCAATGACTAAACTATACATCACGTTGGTAGAAAACACCAACAACATCATAAGTTAATCATGGCTTTAAGACCATCGGTGGTTCATCTAACCATAACAAACCACCTGAGCTAGACAGTACGAAAGTAACTAATGAATCCGCCACTAAATTCCGTTCACGATAAATATGGTGCTAAGGTAGTTTATATTATCTCATTAATAGAAGAAAAGTTTCATTTTCCAAAGTGGCAGCCCATATTCAATAATGTCATGAAGTTCGACTATCATAGCTAGAGTTCACAAAAATTGAATCTTTTTTCCGCACTATACATTGAAACTTAATATCTACCCAAAATTAATTAGAGGAGACAATTTTAGACGAGTGTCACTAGTAACAAAATGTCTGGCAATGCAATATTATGACTTTCGGGAATGAGATCTTGGTACGGTGGTTAGGTTTTAAATGGATCTCTCAGAGGTCTTCATTTCCATCCAAAGATATGGAAGTGATTTTTCTATATTTAAATGGGGTTTATAGGGTAAATCGTTTATATATATGTTCTGATCACTTACGGTTGGAGTCAAATCTACTAGAATGCAAATTATATGTCTCTCCTTTTCTTAAAATATATCGTTTTGATAACCAAATATACACATATATATATATATATAAATATATCAGTTTAAGGTTTTTTTTAAAAAAAAAATTTTTTGATGGCCCTAGCAAGAATCGAACTTCCTGATAATAACCATTCTCGTCCTAACCCCCTAACCACCCCACACAATCCTCCCACCCCCATCGGTTTAAGGTTTTCACATTTTGTTTCTTCCATTAATGAACGAGAAAAAAGAAAATTCCCCACATCTATATTATATCTTTATAATATATTATCTTTTAGGCTGCGGTGTAATTTTTAAAATCTAAGGTGTCACTCTCTCTGACTGGTGTGCATCTGACCATTAGATTGATCTTGTCCGGCGAATCAAAGCACTTCTCCATCATAACTTGGTCAAATTTTGGGAAACTTTTGAGCTAAAAAATAAAAAGGACTCCATCTGTCCTTTAGAGTGCATATCCAGAATATCTTTTGTTAGATAGATTGGCTACGCATCATCATTGCTTAAAAATGTGTGTTTGATTCTAATTATGTTTTATTATACTTTATAAAAAATAATAAAAAAATCACCGACTAGTGTGAAAGTTCGTATTAAAAACTTTGCTAAGAAACAAATGTCATTAAAAATAATTTATGAGACATCCCCCCTAGAGTTTTGTATATCAATAATAATAATACTGCGTTTATTTTGGAGGGTTGGTCCAGAAAGGTCTGCAGAACTCCATTTGTGAAGAGTGAAGACAGTGAGAGCATAAATCAAAGTCATACATATACTTTAACTTATTTCTAATCACCATTTGGCTGAATCATTTCACTTAAATAGCAAACAAAAAGAAACACTAAATCATTGTGGCTGACCTATAAATGACCTAATAATCTATAATTATGCGATAAAGATTTCGAACAAATTAAAAGTCTAAAGCAGATACATACAGATTATTTCGTTTCACAAACTTATAGTTCTTTTATCATGATGATTGAGTTCTTTGCTGACCATACATGTATATAATTTCATTCTTATGTTATCATTCTAATGTACTTTTACGTACACCTCAAAATTAGTGAGTTTCCTAGTTTCAGGAACAATCCTCCTATGTCCTATTTAGCTATTCTAGTAACTTATCAAACTTTCCGGGAAAATCTAAAAATGCAAAATTAGTTATAGTTCCTCATTATTAATATTTATTAATCTTTGTAAACATTTGAATTCATTGTAAAAGACTAATTTTCATAGTCTCATCTTTCAAGCACAATCCTCATTTTATAGCTATTCCAGTAAGTAATTAAAATTTCCGGGAAAATTAAAAAATACAAACTTAGTTAATTTCATCCAAAAAAAGAAATACAAACTTAGTTATATTTTTTCATTATTAATATTTGTAAACATCTGAATTCACCCAAAAAAGTTTTAACTTATTATTATTTATTCATAGGAGAAACTTCATAACTTTTTCAATCAAAACTGAAATATCTTTCTCAATAGAGAAAACGTTATTGATTCGAACAATGGTGTTTTTTTTAAAAAAAAAAATAGAATCATATCTTTTGCTGGTGGTGGAAGAGTATGGACTATGGACCATTAGGGAAGCTTGGCCCCTCTCAAAAGACGAATGGATGGATTATAGGATTTTAATTTATTAGAAAAAAAATCTGGTCTTCCGATTCACGGATGAGACCCTTTCGATATTGTCGTGATGTCGTTGGCTCGCTCGGGAAAGACAGAATCTTTTGTTTTTCTTGGGTAACCACAGTGAGACTTTGTTTGGAGAAATTAGAATAACATATGCCTTTGTCTCGAAATACTTTTCTAATTTGGATTTTTATTTAAATAAAAATGATTTTCAAAAATGAAGTTTAAAAGAAAACAATCAATTTGCAAGAGAGAGATTATTGTTTTAAAACATTATTACCAACCAAATTAAATCGTCAACATATATCGACTCATACATGCATACATCAAAACAATTAATTAAGATCAATGAAGTTATTTATTGGTTTCAGGTATTTCAGACGGGAACGTGAGTTTGTTTTGTCCCAGGATTAATTTCCTATATATTTACTTCACATTCTGACCTTGGGACTATAGCCAAAAATACCATTTAGTTTTGCTCATCAACGAAACCAAACAAGAGAACCAAAAAAAAAAAAAACAAAAAGCCAACCAAGCATTTTATGATGCATCTGGCTTTGAGCAGCTGGATTCCCTTTTTCCTCTTATTAGCCGTTTTGAGTTTGAATTTCGTCAAGAAATGGAGCAAGAAGAGATCCAGTGATCATGAAATGAGGAACAATCTTCCACCAGGGCCACCGAAGCTCCCCATCATTGGAAACATGCACCAACTGATGGGTTCATTGCCTCATCATTCTCTCAAGAGTTTAGCAGAAAAACACGGAGACCTAATGCACCTTATGTTGGGAGAAATCCCAACCATCGTAGCATCATCTCCCCGAGCAGCGGAAGCGATTCTGAAGACAAACGACACGGCTTTCGCCGACAGGCCGGGTTTCCTGGCCGGGGAAATCCTGTTCTACGGCTGTTCCGACATGACGTTTGCTCCGTACGGCGAATACTGGAGACAGATGCGCAAAATCAGTACTTTGGGTTTCCTCAGCATCCGGGTTGTCCGATCATTCTCTTTGATTCGCCAAGACGAGATTTCGAAGCTCGTTACATCCATTCGGGAGGAGTCCGGCCCGGAAGCTGTGAATTTGACCCAAAAAGTGAGCAAATACACAAGTTTGATGGTTTGTAGAGCTGCATTGGGTAGGGAATTTGGAAGGCATCAGGACAAAATGATGGAGCTGTTACAGGAAGTACTTGAGAACACAACCGGGTTTGATGTTTCCGACATTTTCCCTTCCTGGAGAATTCTTCCTTACATAAGCCGGGCCAAGCCCAAGTTAGTTGAGTTGAAGAACAAGATTGATGCCATTTTCGATGTCATAATTCAGGAGCATGTTGAGAATCAGATGGAGAAGAATGGTGAGTTTGGACAAGAAGATCTGGTGGATGTTTTACTTAGGATCCAACAGAGTGGAGATCAAAAGTTTCCAGTTACCTACGCCAATATTAAGGCTATCTTCATGGTACGTTTTCCTAAAATTAATTAATTTGTGTTCCTTCTTAATTTTAGTTACTACTGTACTTGTTGAAGAATTGATCTGGGATTGATGAGGTTTTCATGGAGCTTTTAATTGATGAATTAATTTAATGGTTTTCAGAATATATTCCTTGGAGGAACTGACACTTCGGTAGTCGTGGTTGAGTGGGCCATGGCGGAGATGATAAGAAATCCACGTGTATTGGCAAAGGTACAAAGTGAAATAAGGGAACTGTTACCGACTGGCACGGTAGCAATTGAAGAAGGTGTTATTCAAAAAATGAGCTATTTAAAGTTAGTAATCAAAGAAACTCTAAGGCTACATCCTCCTCTACCGTTATTGATTCCGAGAGAATGCAGGGAGCAATGCCTGGTTGATGGATATGTCATCCGTCCCAAAACAAGAGTTATGATTAATGGATGGGCGATTGGAAGGCATCCTGCGTATTGGGACGAACCTGAAAAGTTCATGCCCGAGAGATTTGAGAACAGCTTGGTTGATTTTTCAGGACATAATTATGAGTATTTACCATTTGGTGCTGGAAGGAGAATCTGCCCGGGAATCTCATTTGGGTGGGCTAATGTTGAGGTTTTGCTAGCCAATCTATTGTATCACTTTGACTGGAAACTCCCAAGTCATTCTGTTGATTTAGACATGACAGAGACCTACAAAGTAACTGCACCAAGGAAAAACAATCTTCTATTGGTCGCCTCTATGTACAACCAGCAAGAAAAGTAATGTGGACTCTACCTAGTATAAGAGCGCGGACACACACATACATATATATATATATATATATATATATATATATATATATATATACATACTAGTGATTTCTGGTCGCGCGATGCGCGATCCTGGCCCAGTCTATCTGTAGATCTTAGAAATGTTAATATTTGAAAAAAATAAAATTTTGTATTTGGAGCGATATATTTTAGAAATGTTTGAAGGATTTAGAAATGTTTTATAAGTGTGATCATAGAAATATTTGTATTTCGCAAAAAAAAAAAAAAATTGTATTTCGCCATGTATGTTTTAGAAATGTTTTATAAGTGTTACTTATTAAATATAAATAGTTTAATCGAATATATGTGTTGAAGTAAATGTTAAATAAAACATAAAAGCATCCTAATAAATTTAAATATTAGTAAGATGATTTATTGACGTTCTCCATTGGTCGTGCCAAATCAATACTTAGTTTTGGAGATTTTTAATAGCTTTGTAATAAGCTTCATCCGAAAGGTATACGCTTAAAACAAAATTGACACTTTGTAACAAAAAACCTAATTGATCAATTCAATTTAAAAAACCACTCTAGTTGAATGAACATAAAGAAAAAATTAAAAAAAAAAACGTGTCACGTAAAGTGCAAAGGGATATTTAGTAATCTAGTTATGGTTAGACAAAAGGGCAATTTAGTATTTTCTACATGCCACATGGCAATCATATGAGGTGTTTGAAAGGGAAGTTTTTGTTTCTAATATAGTAGGATATATATATATATATATATATATATATATATTCTCCATCCTGAAATTATTGTTCAGTTTGGCAGTTGTCTTTTTTAAAAAATACACTTGTATTTTTTTTTAAATAAAATAGTACTTTCATTCATTTACTGGAAATCGTCCAATTGCGATTGATTGATACAAAGAAACAGTCAAACACAACTTACAATATATCACTTTATTGTGTTTACCATGGATAAACCTATACAGATCTACCAATATAATTGACGGACATATCACGTACCAGAATATGAATCTAATATATCTCTAAAATTCTTTAAAAAACCCCAAACCACATATCTAAATATTAGATTTGCGGTGACTGATTTTTCGTGCGGGCATATGTAACGTTGCGAACATATTCAACGCCTACGAATACCGCAAAACGGACCTACATCTCAGTAGAGCAATCTACTTAAAAAAAACTGCGAACGAGAAAATCCTACTTTCTTAAAAAATTATCTAAATAATCTATTGAAGGAACTAATTTGTGAGAATAAACTCACTTATTAAATGATAAAAAATAAAATGAAAAACGATTAAACAAGTTTAATTCCCCATCCTCTCATGATGAGAAGATGGGGGGAGAAATTTGTTCTGGAGTTGGGGTTTGAGAGAGAGAGGGAAGAGGGGCTGCTGCCAGGGTTTTTACTTAGAGAAATACACTTGTATGTTGGGATGGCATGAAAGGAGTATTTGTTTGATTGGCATGGAAATGATGTCAGATTTAAATGATTCGAAGTTAATTGAAAGTAAGGTTTTCAAATTATCCCTACTAGCCTAGGAATTTACAATATATATTATTCGTTGTGATTGGAATTACACTTGAACCAAAAGAAGAAAATAAGAAATTAAAGAGTCTTTGACTGTTCTTGTTAATTAATCTCAGTTTGGATACATGGCCTGGCTAGCTGCTCAAGTAGGACTACCTCCGGCTGATGAGGAATTACATGTCGTGCTGGACAGACTTATTTATTTTTTTAATATTAAAAGTCAGAATGAAAAGAAAGACTTTGCCAAGCATTTCTATAAGAACTTATATTTGTGAACTAGAAGTAAAAGAATAACAACATTATATTCCACACTAGCTAGGGTAATGATTTTCATCAATTGTTTTTGTAAACTTTTCAAATCTTTCTCTGTGGGTTCTGAATACATACTTGAAGTAAGAGAATAATATTTCATTAGTTTTAAAATAATTATTTTGTTTTTTGTATTCTATTAAAATAGTAACATTCCATTGGATAACTCTCATTTTACTTGGCCTCCGAACGGTACAATTAAAAATGAAGACATCGCTTCCCTCGTTACCGAAACATCTTTAAATATGAATGAATACTTAGTGCAGCTAGAATTGTAAGATCAATTTTATATTCAAGGATAAGGCCAGTTTTATTCTAAAGGAAGGAAACAAGACAAAAGATGTTATTTTGACAAGAACATAAGATTGCAGCAGAGAAACATAAAAGACAGAAAGATGTTATTTTTTGTTATGGAAAGATGTACGGCATGAAAAGGTTATGAATAACTTGATTAAATGAAAATCCAAATGAAGTTCCAAAGAAGCATGTAGTGCACAATCAACAAGGCAGAACTCAACGAAATCAAAACGGGGAAGCAATTTTTTCACTCCTGCCACTGCTGCTTCAGAACGATATCCCTGATGCAGAGCAAACAATTTTGGTGTAGATGCCTCAAGCAAGGTCATTAAACGCATGATTTCACATTATTGTACTTTCTTCTGGCCATATAGCACCAATCAAAAAAATTTGACAAATCTAAGTAGAAAACTTCGCTTCAATTAAGAGTAATATTTGTAATCTGCAGCACTAAATAAATAAAGTATCTTCTTAATATCTTAGTTTTCAATGAACTAATCTAAAACTTGATTTTTAGGAATAAATTCAAAAAAACTTTAGCACGCGTGGCATAACGCTCCCTGGACTATTTAACTATTTAATAATGGAGAATTTTGGTGACAACACGTGGCACAATTGGCTAAACTTGCTCCCTGGACGACGCGTGTCGATTAAAAATTCTGCTTTCATTCATATATATATATATATATATATATATATATATATTTGATATATTAAGTAAGAAATTATAACAAGGGATTTTCTTCTCTCTCTAAAATTTTTCTCCACCTTCTCTCATAAAAAACCCTAAGCAACGGATATGGCCGCCATGGCCGGTAAGCTTTCAAACGCAAGTGCAAATCGCACTTTTGCAAGTTTTTTCAACAAGCCCTACACTCCCGTTATCCCTAAAGAGTTAGTCAATTCCATTGATTCGAATATCACTGAATACAAAAAATGTTTCTTTTTTCAATGGAACTCTAAAACTTGAGTTTGATGATGATTAATTCGAAGCTTTAATCGCACCACATAAGATGTGTCTTGTTCGTAAATTCTCCTATGGATGCCCTAAAATGGAAGAAGTAAGGGAGGAATTCAAGAAAATAGGTTTCAAAGGCTCTTTCTTTCTTGGTCTCATGAATCCCTGCCATGTCTTGATCCGTTTCGAGCTTGAGGAAGACTATCAGCATTGCTGGTTGTCTTCGATTTGGAACATTGCGGGATATCAAATGCCGATATTGAAGTGGCGGCCGGGTTTTAAATTTGAAGAAGATCCACCCAGTGTCCCAATCTGGGTATCACTTCATGAGCTTCCCTTAGAATGGACAAATCCGAGAGTTTTGTATTCAATTGCCACTGCTGTCGGAAAACCTTTGCAGATCGATACACCAACCCTCAATTTAACAAGGGCTTTGGTTGCTTGCTTTTGTGTGGAGGTGGATCTGACGAAAGAGCTTCCGAAGTCGATAAGGGTAAGAAGCATGAGCAATACTATACGTACAAATATATTTCGGCTTATTGTGTGAAATACTACAAGATCGGGCACAAAGAAATTGAATGTTGGAAAGGGAAGCCCTTGCCACAACAGCCTTTTAAAGAAGATGCACAAAATGTAAAATCGACAAAGCCTACAGTGCCTAAGGATCATGCTAAATCCACAAATTCGGGTTCTAAAAAAGTTCACTTCGTTATCCCCAAGCCGATTCCAAAGTGGCGACCAAAACCTAATATCTTGCGATCGAAACCACCGAAAAAGGATGAGGCATAAACGTCAGGTTTATCAAACAAGGAAAAAGGAACAATCCCTATTGATGTTGATGGCCAGATTACACCGGAAAATGTAGCATCCAATGAGGTTTTGTCGGAAGCTCCAACTCAGTCACGGGCGCGCGCGGCGGAAGAGTTCTCTGTTAACCCTAATTCTGTTTCAATGAATTCCAATCATTGCATTTTGTTAAATGTTTCAAATTCTTTTGCTAATCTTTTTGTTAAGCCTTTTAAAAATATTTCAGTTGCTCCACAACGGAATTTAAGGGATGAGCTCTCAAGTTCAGAGGAAATGCATTGGCAAATCATTCCTTACGATGATTTGCAAATTGGCAGGAGTAGCTTTTCAGATGATGAGGGCGATGATCCGCGCAGCAGGTTGTCAAACGAGGAGAAGGACGATGCTCTAATCCATGAGTCTTAGTTTAATTATAACATTGTCTCCCTTAAACTAAGTTTCCTCTATTTCCCATTCCGAGCATCTCTCTCAACTTCACAAATGTCTCTAACTTCAACGCCTTTATAAAAATGTTCGCAACTTGCTCTTCTGTCTTGTTATAGTCAACAAAAATTTCCTTTGTACGTACCAAATCACTAATGAAGTGAAACTTCATGTCAATATGCTTAGTACGACCATGATAAACAGGATTTTTAGTCAAATCAATAACTAAATTATTATCGTATAATATTGTAGTTGGACCCTCTTGTTTGTGCTGCAAAAAACCAAGCATTGTCCTCAACCAAATTGCTTGAGTGGCACTATTAGTTGCTGCAAAATATTCTGTTTCTGTCGTTGACAATGCTATTACTGGTTATTTTTTTGAACTCCATGAAAATACAGCAAAGCCAATAAAGAAACCATAACCAGAAGTACTTTTCTTCTTAACTGTATCACCACCATAATCACTGTCAGTGTATCTAACCAACTCAACTGAGTCATTATTCGAATACAAGATACCATCTCCCTGTGTGCCTTTAATATATCTCAAAATTCTCTTTACTGTTTATAAATGAGATTGATGAGGATTTTCCATAAAGCTATTGATTAAACCAACACTGTAATTAATATCCGGTCTTATGGAGGTCAAATATCTCAAACTTCAGACCAAACTCTTAAAGTAAGTTGGATCTACAAAATTTCCAGACTCATCTTTTGTCAATTTCAACCTCTCTTCTGTAGGAGTCAAAATGGCATTAGCCGCATCCATCTTAAGCTTCTTCAAAACATCACCAACATACTTCCTCTGAGAAACGAGAAAAATGCCACGGTCAAGCTGTAAAACTTCAATCCCGAGAAAATAGGACATAAGACCCAAATTTGTCATCTCAAACTGTCTAACCATAGACCCCCTAAATTCTGACATCATCTGCTCATAATTTCCTATGAAAATCATAACATGAACATACAAACACACAATAGTTATGTCACCAGTTTTAAAAGACTTGACATATAGAGTGTGTTCATATGGACACCTTTTAAAACCATTATAAACAAAAAACAGTGTCATTGCCCTAGGGCTTGTTTCAAACCATACAATGCTCTTTTTAGTCTGTAAATCAAATCTTCATGCCCTTTTTTGACATACCCAGCAGGTTGCCCTACATAAACTTCTTCTTCAAGTACACCATTCAGAAAAGTACATTTAACATCCATATGGTGAATTTTCCAATTGTTTTGAGGAGCTAGAGAAATTATCAAACGAACTGTATCAAGTCTTGCAAGTGGTGCAAATACTTCAAAGTAATCAATTCCAGGCTTCTGCTTATATCCCTCTACCACCAGTCTTTCTTTGTAGCTATCAATCTCTCCAGTGGACTTATACTTTGTCTTGTATACCCACTTCACCCCAATGGGGTTCTTCCCCTAGAAAGATCAACAAGCTCCCAGGTATTATTCTTCTCTATTGCACATATTTCTTCATCCATTGCTCTTACCCAATTTTCATTTCTTATAGCTTCCGTAATGTCTACAGGATCACAATCTTCAAATAAGGCAAAATTAACCACACCTTCATCTGTCAAACCATCAACTTCACTTCGCACAACACAATCTTGTAATCGAGCTGGTAATCTTATCTGTCTTTGTGGGCGTTCTCGAGACACTAGAGGACTCATACCAGACGATTGACTAGTTTCTTGGTGTTGATCATGCTTATCTTCTTCATCAACATATGAGGGCGGTGGTGGTTGTGGACTCTCTCACTCCTTTTTTGACCATTCCCAAACTACATGTTCATCAAAAGTGACATCTCTACTAGCAACAAACCTCATAGTTTCCGATTATACAACTTATAGCCTTAAGTCTCAAAGCTATATCCTAGAAAAATACATTTTTTCAGCCTTGTCATCCAGTTTCTTCCTAATAGCATCAGGCACATGAGCATAAGCTACACAACTAAAGACTCTTAGATGAGAAACATTAAATTTCCTTCCAGACCAAATCTCGTATAGAGTTTTTCTTCGAATCTCTCTTGATGGACACCTATTCAAAACATAAACTGTACATGCAACTACTTCAGCCCAAAATTCTTTGGTATATTTTTTGCTTTTATCATAGATCTCACCATATCCATTATAGTTCTATTCTTCCTTTCAGCAACGCCATTGAGGAGTATACCTTGCTATCATCCGATGCTTAATCCCATGTTTCACTAAGAAATTATCACAAACTGTATATTCAGTACCTCTATCTATTTTTAACGTCTTAATGAAATAGCCACTCTACTTCTCAACATAACTCTTGAGCTTTGAGCATATCACAAGCATCAGATTTCTGCTTCAAAAAATAGATCCATGTCTTCCTGCTAAAATCATCAATGAAAGTAATAAAATACTTATTACCTCCACGCAAAGGAACCTCAACTGAACACAAACATTTCCTTTTGAAAATGGATCCCTATGCTTCTTTCCAAAAATACAAGGCCCATATTGTCTAGTAGAAAAATTCAATAGTGGTAATCTAGAAACCACATTATTCCTAGCAATGAATTGTAAACCGCCAAAATGAAATGCCCAAACCTCATGTGCCATAATGAAGTATCATCAAATGATGTGGCACTCAAAAAAAGAGCATTAGCATAATTCAAAGTGATTGGAAACAATCTACGAACCATTTTTACCTCTGCAATCATCCACCCATGTGAATCATGAATTGTACAAACTCCATGTTTAAAAATCAAATCATACATTTTCTCTTGCAACTGACCAAGACTCAGCAAATTATGAGGCATATTACGAACGTAAAAAACATCACCAATATAACTAAGCTCTCCATTCTTCAAAACAATAGGAATACGACCTTTGCCCAGAACAGGTAAAATCTGATTATTGCCAAATCTCACCGTGGCTTTAAACAATTCATCCAACTCTGAAAAAATCTCCTTCTTCCCAGTCATATGATTACTACATCCTGAATCAACATGTCAATCCGAACCTTTGCTTTCTTCCCCAATATGAGCAGAAAATAAGATTGTCTCACTATCATCATTACCAGTCTCAACTATTTGAGCACGTCCATCACTACCATCACCAAAATTATTCCAACAATCTTTTCTTATATGATCCGTTCTCCCACAATTATAACACTGGATATTTTGTCTATCGGGTGCAAAACCATTACCTTTACCACGACTTCTGTAATTACCTCGACCTCCATGTCACGGCCTCTAAAATTTTGCCCACGAGCTTGAGCCTATTTATGATTTTGATCATCCTGAATCTGGAAAGTCTGCAAAGGAATTTGAGGTTGGAATACCTCTGAGTTTGGACTTGCAATGCCTTTTCTACTGATTCATCAAGTTTTTCATTAATTCTATTTTCATGAAGAATTAATGAACCATGCAATTCTTCAAGTGTCATCTTTGAAATATCTTTTGTCTCCCGAATCATAGCTACAACATAATCAAATTTTAAAGGCAAAGTTATGAGAACTTTTTCAGTAAAAGTTTCATCTTCAGTAACGTGACCATTATACTCCATCTTGTTCTTAATTTCAATCAATCGAGAGAAATATGCATCAATACTTTCTGTCTTCTCCATCTTACTGAGTTCAAACTTTATTTTTAGCATAAGAAAATTACTCTTCTGAACTTTTTCCACACCACAATATGATTTTTCCAAGATATTTTGATCTACCATGAACGCGTAATATTTTGATCTGCCATGATCGTTGGATCTGAACCCAACTCTGATGTCAGCTGTAGAACCAAAACAAATCAAGTACTGCCAAAACAAAGTTAATAAGTAAATAACACCAATTGGTCATACGTACTGCCAAACTTTGTTTATCAAATCAAGTTACAAAACATCAACGGCCACTATGCCGCACAACACTTAAAACAAAACCCCACATTCACATTATATCACCCCAACCATATATATATGTATATATAGGTATCACTTATTCCCCTAAACCCTAATAAATAGGAAATTACAAAAACAATCCCAATAAAATTAGTTTAATTATAACAGTTTAAGGTTTTGAAATTCTCTCCGGGATACGGTGAGGCGTGCCATTGGTTTACTCAGATTGATCTCGTTTCAATGGGCAGTAATTAATCGAGAAAAGATATTATGAAGCCAACCAAACTTAATAAGCTTTGAGTGTTTATCGGAAATGGAGATCTCAGTGGGTTGTAATGTATGTAATAATCTTGGTTTATTTCTTTTTTGTTTGTGTTAACTACGTACCCCCATGTAGCTCTTTTTTAATTTTGTAAGTGAAGTTTCTTTTTTATCGTTTGTTTGTGTTAACTACATACATGTAGTTCTTTATCCAGTTTGAAAATAAAGTTTCTTTTTTTATCGTTTGTCTGTACAAGATCTATCAAGAATCTTCTTTTTTTAGTTTGTAAGTAAAGTGTTACAATTTTAGATCATTTTGCTCCAATTCAGTCGAAGGGGAAGTGGGGAGTTAGCAAATTCCAGCAAATGAAAGGAACTATATTTAATCCAGTACATCAGTGGTAGTTTAAAAAGAACCATTGCACATTTTCAGTGGTGAAAGGAGACTGCCTCAAAACAATTGAAGCAAATACTTTACATATATCAAGAGCTAATAAACCCTTTGGATGGACTAAATATAGGTAAAAGTTGCCTCAAGAATCAAAGGATTCTTCCTTCTAACAATACTACTAGGAACTTCATTCACCTCTAAATCCTCCAAGTTTGCTCCATCGGGCAATGCAAAATCAAATCTAAGTATTAGGTTCGCGAAGGCACCTTCAGCTACTACCAAGGCAAATGCAATTCCTGGACAACTTCTCCTTCCGTAAGCAAAAGTGAGCAACTCAAAATGTTGTCCTTTTACGTCAATGGAAGTGTCCAAGAATATTTCGGGTTGAAAATCATCAGCATTTTCCCACAAAGAATCGCTCCTTCCAATTGCAAAAATATTGGTCAACACTTGGGTGCCAGCAGGAATATCATATCCCATGATATTGATAGTGTGGCTTGATTCTCTAGGAAGCAACAGTGGGCCCGGAGGGTGCATACAACATGTTTCTTTAATACATACTCGTAAATAAGGGAGTTTTTCTAAATCATTCTCTGTTATTTGGTTCAATTTTCCATCTGATAATCACCTCACTTCATCTTCTAGTTTAGTCATAACATTTTCATTTTTTACTAATTCGGACATTGCACACCCTAATAGCGTAGATGTCGTGTCCGTTCCAGGAGCGAACATGTCCTACGAATAAATTTCCAAGATTAGTAAACCTTGTAATATAGTCAATCAATTTATACTATTATTTCTTACTATTTTATTCATCTCATATTTCATTTTATTTGATAAAGAATACTCCCTCTGTTACTAAATTATTGTCCAGTTTTAGATTTCACTTTTATTACATTTTGAACTAAAAGTGAAACGTCAAAATGGACAATAATTACAGGACGGAAGGAGTAATATTTTAGGTACATCAATTGAATTCAGGTCTTGAAATTCTTTTTAATCATTTCATGAAAAAAAAAACAAAAAGAAGTTGAAAGAGTTGGTTCTAATCATTAAAAGAGATTTCATAATAAACAAAAAAATAAAGCGAAAAAATCAATAAGAAAAACAGAGAAAGAAAGAAAAGAAATAAAGCTACTTCCTTCGTCCCAGAAAAATAGTTCACATTGAATTTTTAAATTGTACTAAAATTAATATGAATCTCAAAATTCAATGAGAACTTTTTTTGGGGACAAGAGAAATACTACTTTTTAATTTAGCAAAAAAACTTTTTTAGAATCATAATTCCTATTTGTGGGCTAGATGTCACGTACGGGGTTGAATTGGAGATTAGTGAAAGATTTGCCAGTGACAGAATGTAAAGCACGTCGGCCGGAGAGTCAGGAGTACAGAGGGGAAGACAACAAGGAGAAGAAAGAAAGGAGGACGTATCTAGAAGGTTAAATGGAATTTGGGGAATGTTTGGACTTCATAACCCTCTTTCCCAATTATTACAATATTTAATATGTCCTAAATCAGTAATCAGTAAATGAGTAAACTAACCATTATTACAATTAACAGTTGTAAAATCCAACTGGAAGATCCTGCCATTTTACCGCCTTGAAATCAGCCCACTAGTTTTGCTATTTGTCAAATTAACCCCTGAATCGTGACAAATTCCTCCCCCAAAAGAACAAGCTTGTCCTCAAGGTTTAAAAGAAGGAAATTGGCTGCAAATAAAAGCGCGGTTTTCCTAAGAGGAGTCTTTCAGATCAAAATCTTTCCATTTCACTAACCACTGGTTTACTGAAACACCATTCCTGATGATAAACCTTCTTTGGAGCAAACGTTCTGGCAACAAGGAACTGCTTTCGATCAACTCAGGCTCAGGAGGTGGAGTAATGGAAGGTGGTTTAAGTCCATGATGTTTCTTCAGCTGAGATACGTGAAATATAGGATGAATTCTAACATGAGCAGGCATTCTCAGTTTATAGGCAACTCCCCCAATCTTCTCCGTCACTTGATAAGGGCCATAGAATCTGGAAGAAAGCTTCAGGCACAATCTAACAGCTATTGTGGACTGCTTATAAGGTTGGAGTTTTAAGTACACCCAATCATCCACCTTGAATTCTTTCTCAGATCGTTTTTAGTCAGCAACGTGTTTCATCATTTGCTGTGCTTTGAGCATATTCTCCTGCAGTAGCTTGATGATGGCAGCTCTATTATGAACTTCATGAGTTGCAGCTGGAACAATGATATCAGTGAAAGGACCCAAGGGAAAAATCTGAGGTTTTTGTCCATAAAGTGCTTCAAAAGGAGACATTTTGATAGCTGAATGGTATGAATTGTTGTACTACTATTCTGCAAGAGAGATCCATCAATTCTAAGAGCTAGGTTTATCACAACAAAAGCACCTGAGATAATTCTCGAAGTATTGATTTACTCTTTCAGTTTGACCATCTGTCTGTGGATGATAGGCTGTGCTGAGTTTGATCTGTACTCCTAGCAAGTTGAAAAGAGCTTGCCAAAAATGGCTGGTGATCCATGGAGTTCAAAAACTTCCTTCATGAAAACCTCAGCCACTTTGGAATCTGTAACAGGAGATTCCAAGGGAATGAAATGCCCATACTTAGTAAGTCGGTCCACCACCACCAAAATAGTGTCAAACTTGTCAGGATGTAACTTTACTATAAAGTCCATAGAGATACTCCTCCAAGATTGTTCAGAAACAAGGTTGGGATGGAGCAATACAGGATACTTCACATTCTCATATTTGTTCCTTTGGCAGGCTACACACTGAGTAATGAACTTGTCCACATCTCCTTTCATCCATGGCCAAAAGAAGATTGACCTCAATCTTTGATGAGTGACATTCTGACCAGAATGACCACCCCGAAGAGAAGAGTGTAAAGAAGTCAAGATTGAAAGCTTCAAGTTACTATTCCTCCTCAAAATTCCATTGATGTACTGAAATTCAGATTGCTTGTTGGCATTCACTGTAATACTCGCAATGATGTCAAGAGCCTCAAAATCATTTTGGTAACTGGAAATGAGATCATGAATCCATTGTGGTTGTAATGCAGTAATGGCCAAACATCTCCCATTGTCATTATCCTCCTTGTGTTCCATCCTGGAAAGTGCATCTACTGCTTTATTATCCCTTCCTTTCTTATACTGTATATCATAATCATACCCCAATAACTTGGTGAGCCACTTATGTGGGTTGGGTTGAACCACCTTCTGTTCCAATAAGTACTTCAAGGACTGATGATCAGTCCTAATAATGAACTTGTTTCCCAACAGATAGTGCCTCCACTTGGCTACTGCCAGCACTAATGCCATCAATTCCTTGTCATACACTGAAAGTCCTTTATGTTGTTAGTTGAAAGCTTTGCTTAGAAATGCCAAGGGTTGACTGTCCTGCATTAAAATAGCCCCCACCGATATTACTTGCATCAGTCTCTACCACAAATGGCTATGAGAAATCAGGCATTGTAAGAACTGGAGCAGTAGTCATTACTTCCCTTAATTGTTGGAAAGATGTTTGAGCATCTTGATTCCAAAAAAAAGCATTCTTCTTCAGCAATTCAGTAAGGGGTTTGCAAATAACACCATAAACCTTAATGAACCTTCTGTAGTAACCAGTTAGTCCAAAGAACCCTCTCAATGCCTTCACAGAAGATGGAACTGGCCAATTAATAATGCTGCTCACCTTCTTTGGATCCATACTAACCCCCTCAGCTGAGTTAACGTGACCCAAATACTCCATTGAATTCGGTGTAAACATACACTTGCTTCTTTTTCATGTAACTGGCGTTGTTTCAGAATTTTCAAAACTTCTTCCAAGTGAACTAGATGATTCTCTAAATTAGCGTTGTAGACCAATATATAGTCAAAGAACACTAACACAGTCTTCCTCAGCTGAGCTTGAAAAATTTGATTCGTCAAAGATTGGAATGTGGCTGGAGCATTTGTTAACCCGAATGGCATTACAAGAAATTCATCTGAAATGTTGTTTTCTATACATCATCTTATTCACCAAGATTTGGAGATAACCAGCTCTCAGGTCCAACTTAGAAAACACTGCAGCTCCCTTAAGTTCATCAAGCAATTCCTCAATTATAGGGATTGGAAACTTGTCTTTTACCGTCATCTCATTTAGTCTCCTGTAATCCACACACATACGCCAATACCATTTTTTTTTCTTCACGAAAATGACATGAGAAGCATATGGACTTCTACTTGGTTGAGCAATGCCTTGTTCCAATAGTTCAGAAACATGTCTTTCAATTTCAGCCTTATAAGCATCGGGACATCTATAAGTAAGCATTTTGAAGGGTTGAGAACCAGCCTTCAATAGAATCTGATGGTCAAATGCTCTACTTTGTGGCAAGGAGTTAGAGGCATCAAATATTTTACAATACTTGTCCAGCAACTTTCCCACAAACTCAGGTAAAGGGTATTCAACTACTGATGTTTCATCACTATTCAAAGCTTGTAGTTGCATAGCCATCATCATACCTTTCCTTTCCCTTGTAAGAACCTGACAGTCCTTATCTCTAACCAACTCTATACTATCAACACTTCCCTTCCCATGAAATATATATTGTCTACCATATCTGCTGAGCCTGATGTGCATTTCCTCAAAATCAAAAGTTATGACACTGAAATGCCACATCCAATTAACACCCAGGTCATAACCTCCTAATCTCATGATCTTCATGTCATAACTAAACTTATACTCCTTGACGTTCCAATGCAAATTTGGGCATATTAGATTTCCAGACACTTTACCACTATTTCCCACAGTAATTGTGTACATGTTAGACTCCTTGTAAGGTAATTTGAGATCTCTTACTAGAAGCAAGTCTACAAAACTGTCTACTCCCTGTGTCAATCAAAATCTTGATAATTCTTCCTTAAATCTTCCCCAAAAGTAGAATAGTTTGCTTAACAGAATCTACTGACAGTACATGCATTGAACCCTTCTCAATAGTCAAATGAGTTAAATCAATGCCTTCATCTACTGGTAATTCAGGTGCATAAATATCAATCCTTTCAGGTTCTTCATCTTCCTCATTAACAATCATGATATCGAATTGCCTGTACTTTCAAACATGTCCCGGACCAAATTTTTCCCCACATTTAAAACATAAATGGTTGTTTGCTCTATATTGATACTCATCATTAGTCAACTTTTTCACAAAATCAGGATTTATTGCCTTCTCACTTCTATTAACAGGTCAATTATTATCAGCAGTTCTATTAGAAGAAGATGAAAAAGGTCTGTTCACCTGATGAGCGGTCCTCTGCTTCCTTAGAGTCACCTCCAATTGTCTCTCTTGCAAACTAGCAATCTTGAAAGCAGAAGTTAAAGATAAGGGGTCATGCATCCTCACCCCAGCTTGTAGTTCCTCCTTCAATCCACCAAGGAAGCTATGTATGAAATAATCTTCAGATAACCGAGGATCTTGAATCAGCATTCTAGCCCTTAATGCCTCAAATATCACCTGATACTCCCTCACAGTTCCCTTCTGCGTAAGTTTATTAAATTTCTCTACTGGATTAACCTCCCCCACATCTACGAATTGTTTCAACAGTTCCTTACAGAATTCTGGCCAAGAATGTCAGGTTTGATCATCTTAATTGCCTGAAACCAAGTGTCAGCTTCTTCATCAAGATCCAGTTCCACAGCGTCCACCCTTTGATCTTCTAAAATTTGTTGAATCATGAAGAACTTTTGACACTTCCTAATCCATTCACGAGGTTTCTAACCAGTAAACACCTGCAATTTAATTCTGATCTGACGGAAGATTTTTTTTTTCCATTTCTCAAATTTTTGTTTGAAACTAGTAAGAGCCATCCAAATGATGAATAATTGTTTTGGAAATTAACGCATCATCACCCACTTACCAGTTACCACTAAATTCAACTCTCACTTATTAAAGATTTAAATTCGTTGTCTGCGTTTAATTAAAAATTTGCATTCTTACAACCTTGCTCCCAATTTACATTCAAAAAGTCAAAACATCAGTTAAATCACCTTTTAAATGAAAAACCAATTATCTATTCATGCACGTCCTAGTCATTTAGGCAGTAGCCTTAACGGATATGTGGACGAACTGTTAATTTTACATTTTCTGAATTGTGTCGTATTTGGTTTGTTACTTTTTTTTTTTTTTTTTTACATACGAGATGATAACCTAATAATTATAGACCACTTGAAGAGGTCATAGTCATTTTTTTTTTTGTTACACACTAATCAAACGGGCGAGAGTAACAATTTGCATAAGAAAAGACGAAAAAAAAAGGTGGTATTGATCACTTCAATTAGTTTATAAATCAAAATCTAAAGATATTGACGGAAATAAACTATTTTCAGTTCAGTGGACACAAAATTTCAACAAGTTTATAGTCTCAAATGAATATTTTAGTACGAATGAAGCCTCACAAACAAACACATTGATGTACTCATTTTGAATTATAAAACTTGTAAACAATATAATGCATACGTGTGTCTGTGCAGTCCCTTTGAATAAGTCCTACATAAAATTAAAAATGCAACAATACTTCCTATCTTCTTCTCTTTTTCTTTTTCCCCGAAAGTAATAAAAGAATTCCTATCTAATGGTTAAATATTCACAATTGACAAACATATTTTATAAGAATAATTGCAACTTGTAATTCCCACATACGAATTTCCCTACATCTTAACGATAAAGCGTCACAGACATTAACAATTAAAAAAATGTTAGATTTACTATTTAGGAAAGATACATGAAATGAAAATCAAAAACTTACCAAGACAGTAGCTTTAAGTGAATCACGTTGAAGAGCTAATCCAGCGGCAATTTTGTGTCGGATATCCAGCAAGACATCCACGAAATTCTGCTGGTTTTCGTCCGCATTAATCGTCTCGGGCGCCTCCGACCGCCTCCGGAATATTCCTTCTTCAATTACAGCGTCAAAATATGCATCCAACTCTTTAGCCACCCTATTCACTCTTGACTCCAGACCATTGATGCGATTAATCCATCCGAGCCATGGAATGTAATCACCGACGTTAAATGTCGCTAGTAGCTCCGTAAATTCCCCGACCGTTTCATGTAGATTACTCCCACATTTCTCTTCCGAATACCTCTTCCCGATGGATATCCTAGAAATAATGTCTAGGGTAAGTGTGGTTAGCATCTTGCTTAGATTTAATATATGCACACATCATTAATAGAGATTCTTTAAAAGAGATATTTTTCCTTTCTCAAAATAAGAATTGTATTCTTTTGCTGTCAGAAAATTTTGTATTCCTTCGTGGTTGTGTCATGTGTGGGCTGGGGAGGGCTCTTCTAGTTCAGGCATTGACATTTAAGCTAGTCTTTATCTTACATTTAAGTGTTTCTATTTTTTTTTAATTATATCTACTATTTGGCAGAGAAATTGACTGAACCTAGTAGAAATAAATTGTATTAAAAATACAAATTTAAATAAGATAATTTCGTCCAAGAGAGTTTGTGAAAAAGGTGGAGCAACAACTTTGTCACTTCCTATTCTAGCGTTTATGTCAATGTCCCACAATCGTGATAGTGGTATATATGCAATACTGTACCAAAAAAATGGCTCAATAATTGTTAATATGATTTTGTTAAAATCTGTTTTTCTCCTAACATGGTCAAATTTCTTTTTGTGGTTCTTGTACTTCTTGTAGTTTCTAGTCATGGTCAAATTTCTTTTTGTGTTGCAAAGAAGCAGCTCATATTCAATACTGTCATGACGTACGACTCCCATAGCTAGAGTTCACAAAATAAATATTGAATCTTTTTTCCGCACCAGTCATTGAACTTAATTTCTATGCAAAATTAACTGGAGGTGACAATTTAAATAGGCAAGTGTCACTAGTAACAAAAATGTCTGACGATGCATTCTGTTCACTTTTGAAAATGAGATCTTGGCATGGTGGTTAGGTTCTAAAGTGATCACATCTAGGAGTCAGGAATCTATTTCCATCCAAAAATAGACTAAACTGTATAAATGGTCCTCTACATTTGTCCGAATTTAAATTTTGGTCCCCTACATCAACGTGTATATGGATTGAGCCTTTACATTTCATTTTAAAACTTTTTTGGTCTCTTTTCACTGTTCCGTCACCATTTCCGTCTTGATGACTGTTGACCCTACCAAGTCATGGGTATTTTTGGAATGACACATATAAGATCAAAATAACAAATGTTTAAATGGTCCCCTATATTTGTCCGAATTTAAATTTTGGTCCCCTATATCAACATGTATATAGATTGAGCCTTTACATTTCATTTTAAAACTTTTTTGGTCTCTTTTCACTGTTCCGTCACCATTTCCGTCTTGATAACCGTTGACCCTACCAAGTCAGGGGTATTTTCGGAATGACACATATAAGATCAAAATAACAAATGTTTTTATAATAAAATAGAATAAAATATTAAAAATTATTATTTTATAATAAAAAATTAAACAATGTAAAAATAAAAAAAATTAAGACTAAACTGTATAAATGGTCCCTTACATTTGTCCGAATTTAAATTTTGGTCCCCTACATCAACATGTATATGGATTGAGCCTTTACATTTCATTTTGAAACTTTTTTGGTCTCTTTTCACTATTCCGTCACCATTTCCGTCTTGATGACCGTTGACCCTACCAAGTTAGGGGTATTTTCGGAATGACACATATAAGATCAAAATAACAAATGTTTAAATGGTCCCCTACATTTGTCCGAATTTAAATTTTGGTCCCCTACATCAACATGTATATAGATTGAGCATTTACATTTCATTTGAAACTTTTTTGGTCTCTTTTTACTGTTCCATCACCATTTCCGTCTTGATAACCGTTGAGGCGTTGACCCTACCAAGTCAGGGGTATTTTCGGAATGACACATATAAGATCAAAATAACAAATGTTTTTATAATAAAATATTAAAAATTATTATTTTATAATAAAACATTAAATAATTTAAAAATTAAAATAAAAAATTAAAATGATTTCAAATTTCAAATTTCAAATTTTTTTTCACTTCCCACCTTTGTGGGTCCCACATGCTAGTCAATTTTCCCCCTTTTTTTGTTACAGTAAAAAAAAATCAAAATTAAAAAGTAAACTTACCTTCACCCGTTTTTTATTACTTTTTAATTTTGACGGATGACGGTAAGTTTACTTTTTAACTTTGTTTTTTTACTGTAGCAAAAAAAAAGGAGGAAATTGAGTGGCATGTGGGACCCACAAAGGTGGGAAGTGAAAAAAAAATTTGAAATTTGAAATTTGAAATCATTTTAATTTTTTTTTATGTTTACATTATTTAATTTTTTATTATAAAATAATAATTTTTAATATTTTATCCTATTTTATTATAAAAACATTTGTTATTTTGATCTTATATGTGTCATTCCGAAAATACCCCTGACTTTATAGGGTCAACGGTCATCAAGACGGAAATGGTGACGGAACAGTGAAAAGAGACCAAAAAAGTTTCAAAATGAAATGTAAGGGCTCAATCCATATATATGTTGATGTAGAGGACCAAAATTTAAATTCGGACAAATGTAGGGGACCATTTAAACATTTGTTATTTTGATCTTATATGTGTCATTCCAAAAATACCCCTGACTTGGTAGGGTCAACTGTCATCAAGATAGAAATGGTGACGGAACAGTGAAAAGAGACCAAAAAAGTTTCAAAATGAAATGTAAAGGCTCAATCCATATACATGTTGATGTAGGGGACCAAAATTTAAATTCGGACAAATGTAGGGGACCATTTATACAGTTTAGTCAAAAATTAAAATGATTTCAAATTTCAAATTTAAAATTTTTTTTTTCACTTCCCACCTTGGTGGGTCTCACATGCCAGTCAATTTTTCCCCTTTTGTTTTGCTACAGTAAAAAAAATCAAAATTAAAAAGCAAACACATGCCAGCCAATTTTTTTCCTTTTTTTGCTACACTAAAAAAAATCAAAATTAAAAAATTAATTTTGATTTTTTTTACTATAGCAAAAAAAGGAAAAAAATTGACTGGCATGTGGGACCCACCTTAGTGAAAGTAAGTTTGCTTTTTAATTTTTATTTTTTTTTACTGTAGGAAAAAAGAGATGGAAATGGTGACGAAACAGTGAAAAGAGACTAAAAAAGTTTCAAAATGAAATGTAAAGGCTCAATCTATATACATGTTGATGTAGGGGACCAAAATTTAAATTCGAAAATATGTAGGGGACCATTTAAACATTTGTTATTTTGATCTTATATGGGTCATTCTGAAAATACCCCTGACTTGGTAGGGCCAACGGTCATCAAGACGAAAATGGTGACGGAACAGCGAAAAGAGACCAAAAAAGTTTCAAAATGAAATGTAAAGGCTCAATCCATATACATGTTGATGTAGAGGACCAAAATTTAAATTCAGACAAATGTAGGGGACCATTTATACAGTTTAGTCTCCCAAAATATGTAAGTGGTTTTTTATACATCCAAGTATGGTCATTGGAGTGGATTTATTTTTAAAAAAAATAAAAAAATTCTGATCAGCCGTTGGGAGTCAAATCTACTAGAATGCAAATTACATGACTCTCCTTCTCTTAAAATATATCGGTTTAAGGTTTTCAGATCATGTTTCTTTCATATTGTACGAGTAAGAAGAAAATTTCCGCGAGCGTTATTGCACATTTTTATGTATTATATCTTGGACAAAATGCACTTTTGGTCCCTAAACTATGGGAGTTACAACTTTTGGTCATCATTAATTTTTTACTGACAAAATTAGTCACCATCTTTTCGTTTATTCAACAATTTTAGTTAATTTAACGGTCAACTCATTTGTCCGTTAAAATTTTTATTTTTTATTAATTTTTTACTGAATTGGGACACACAATATATTTTCAAACATCAAAATTAGTCCCCTAATATCCATTTTTCCAATAATTTTAGTCACTTTAACAGAACTTTCAAAAATTTCCTTTAAGTCTTTATTTTTTATTAATTACTTAATGGATTGTGAGTCCTACGGGTCGTTGATCAGAATATTTTTTAAAAAAAAAATAAATTAAACGAATAAAGAAAATATTTCTAACTAACATACGAAACTCCAAATATTCTGCTCTCCGAGAAATAAATTTAAAAAAAAAAAAAAAAAAACCTGACAATGAAAACGATCAATAATGAGGCTCCTTTTCTGGACTACTTTGCCGGCGGGGTGGTGATGGTGAGACATTCAGGAGCAGTATATTGGGGCTTAGGAAATTGGTCGAAAATAGTTTGATTATTCTTTTAATTTTTTTTTGAAAAAAAAAATCTGATCAAAGACTTGTAGGACCCACAATCCATTAAGTAATCAATAAACATTAAAGACTTAAAGTAAAATTGAATTGAGCCATTAAAGTTTTGAAAAAATTTTTAAAGTGACTAGAATTGTAGAAAAAAAAGATATTAGGGGACTAATTTTGTTGTTTAAAAATAAATTGCGTGTCCCAGTTCAGTAAAAAATTAATAAAAAAATTTAACGGAGAAAAGAATTGACCATTAAATTGACTAAAACTGTTGAATAAACGAAAAGATGGTGACTGTTTTTGTCAATAAAAAATTAATGGTTACCAAAAATTGTGACCCCCATAGTTTAAAGACTAAAAGTGCATTTTGTCCTTATATCTTTAAAAATATATTATTTTGTGAGGCTAGGGCTGTAGTTTTTTGTTTGTGAATAAAATTTTTTACAATCTAAGGTCTCACTCTCTCTGACTGGTGTGCTTGTGACCATTAGACTGGTCTAGTCCGGCGAATCGATCAAAGCACTTCTCCATCATAACTTGGTCAAACTTTTGGGAAGCTTTTGAGCTAAAAACTAAAAAGGACTCCATTTGTCCGTTAGACTGCATATCTAGAATATCTTTTTGTAAGATAGATTGGCTAAGCATCTTCATTGCTTAAAAGTGTGTGTTTGATTCTAATTATGTTTTATTATACTTTACAAAAAAAAAAAGTATAATAAAAAAAAATCACTGACAAGTGTGAAAGTTCATATTAAAAGCTTTGCTAAAAAAATCACCGACAAGTGTGTGTTTGCTTAAAAAATCACCGACAAGTGTGAAAGTTCATATTAAAAGCTTTGCTAAATAAACAAACAAAATAACAATTTTGTCTAATACAAATGTCATTAAAAATTGTTTATGAGAGACATCCCCCTTAGACTTTTGTACATCAATAAGAATACTACTGCATTTATTTTGGAGGGTTGGTCCATAAAGGTCTGCGGAACTCCATCAAAACCTTTGTGAAGAGTGAAGATTGTGAGAGGAGAAATCAAAGTCATACATATACTTTAACTTATTTCTTACTAACTTTTGCTTGAATCATTTCATATATATATATATAGGCGTAAAGCCAAAACAAAACAGAGAAAAAACGAAAGAGATACAGAAACTAGCCGAAAATCAAGCATTATAATGCATCTGACTTTGAGTTGGATTCCCTTATTCCTCTTAGCCGTTCTGATTCTTAAGATTATCAAGGAATGGAGCAAGAGAACCAGTGAAAACAAGAACAAGATGCCACCGGGGCCGCGGAAGCTGCCCATAATTGGAAACATGCATCAATTGATGGGTTCACTTCCCCATCATTCTCTCAAGAGTTTAGCCCAGAAACATGGAGATCTGATGCACCTTAAGTTGGGAGAAATTTCGACTATTGTTGCATCATCTTCACGTACAGCGGAAGCGATTTTGAAAACACATGATATAGCTTTTGCAGATAGGCCGGAGTTTCTAGCTGGGAGGATCCTGTTCTACAACTGCTCGGACATTACATTTTCTCCATACGGTGAACACTGGAGGCAAATGCGGAAACTCGGCATTTTGGAACTTCTTAGCAACAAAGTCGTCCGATCTTTCGCCCCGATTCGACAAGACGAGGTCACAAAACTTGTTTCCTCTATTCGGGATAAGGTAATCACTGGATCTTCCGAAGCAATTAATTTGACGGAGAAGGTTTCTGCGTACACGATTTCGATGGTTTGTAGAGCTGCATTGGGTGGGTATTTGGAGGGCATCAAGACACACTGATGGAGCTGATAAAGGAAGTACTTGCGAAGTCAAGTGGGTTTGATGTTTCTGATATTTTTCCATCCTGGAAAATCCTTCCTTACATAAGCCGGGAGAAGCCCAAGTTGTTGGATTTGCACAACAAGATTGATGAAATTTTTGAGCTGATCATTCAAGAACATGTTGAGAATCCAATCGGAGAGAATAATGGTGAGTTCGGACAAGAAGATCTGGTTGATGTTTTCCTACGGATCAAACAGAGTGGAGATCTTAAGTTTCCTGTGACCAACACCAATATCAAGGCTATTTTCATGGTAAGTTTGTCAAATTTGATTTCATCAAAATGGCCTAGTTATTATGCATGATATTGTCAAGTTCTCTTGTGCAATTTGAAATTTTGGTTTCAATTTGATTAAATTTTACTGTAGTTTGAATGGATAATCAATAATCTAATTTATCCTGTTGATGGGTTATCAGAATGTGTTCGTCGGCGGAACTGAAACTTCTGCAATCGTGGTGGAATGGGCAATGGCAGAAATGATAAAGAATCCAGATGTATTGAAAAAGGCACAAAGTGAAGTAAGAAAATTAGTACCAGCGGGAAAGAAAACAGTTGAAGAAATTGATATTCTAAAGTTGAATTATTTAAACTTAGTCATCAAAGAAACTCTAAGATTTCATCCTCCAGTGCCATTATTGGTTCCACGAGACTGCAGAGAGCTATGCGAAATTGACGGATATATTATCCCTCTTAAAACAAGAATTATTATTAACGCTTGGGCAATTGGAAGGGATCCTAAATATTGGGATGAACCGGAGAAATTCGTACCAGAGAGGTTTGAGAATAATCCGATTGACTTCACAGGGCAACATTACGAGTATCTACCATTTGGAGCTGGGAGGAGGATGTGTCCAGGAATTTCTTTTGGATTAGCTAATGTCGAAATTCCGCTGGCTAATCTTTTGTATCACTTTGATTGGAAACTCCCAGATACTAGTAACGGTGTTGATTTAGACATGACAGAGGCCTATAGAGTAACTGCACCAAGAAAAAACAATCTTTTCTTGGTTCCCTCCATGTGCGGATGCGTTGGTAATTAAGCTATATCATCAGTCGAGGCCATTTTTATTATTTTTTCTTTTGTATGACAGTCATGTTTTTCTATTCAAGAAATTGTTATGCATGTCTAAGGGAAAATGCTTTGCCCAATTTATCCAGCTCTTTGAGCATTTATTTCTGGTGAAATTCATATCCTGTAGGTTAGTTCATGATAAGTGCTAAATTAAATATATTTTTATGCCCTCCCCGTAGTAGTTTTAATAAGAATTTATCTCTTCGAATTGAATTTGATGCTTAATTTAGTTAATAATGATGTGCATGAAACAAATTCTTTGTATGAAAATAAATGATGAATTTTTGAAGTTTTGTACTTGATTGAAGATGAAATTAACCTTGGAGGAGAAAGAGTGAAGGAGCTTAGTAATCAAGAGACTAAAAATGCAAAGAGGCCATTTAATTCGTGATTTCGGCCGAGACAATCAAGTGAATGGGATTAATTGGTCGTAGTGAGCTGTTTCTTTTGTTGAAATAAATAGGACAAGATTTGGACCATATAAAGGAAGCTCATGCTTATTATTTTTGTTGCACTTTTGAAGGTTTTGTTGCTGGAAGAAACATAAACTAGAAGAAGTTTTCAGCGTGACGGTGCTCCTGAAATCTTGGATTTCGGTGGAAGTTTAATTTCAATTAAATTTGGAAATAAACTAGCTTAATCTCCAAAAAAAGTTGACTTGAAAAAAACTATTAAAAGGGGAGCAAAGCTTTGATTTGATTAGCCTCCGTTTCTCACCTAACCTTTTACACCCGAAGCACCACACCATCATCATCTCCTCCCAACCATTTTCCACGCACCAAATCAGCCCCCTTACCAACCCTAACCCCAGTTCCACGTACATCCACCTCACCAACATTATCACCACATAACCTCCATCAACCCTAACCCCTTCACGCACAAATCCAATCACCTCACCATTGTAATCCACGCACCACACCATAATTTCCATATTAAACCTGCACATCAACGGAGGAGGAAGCAAGTAGCTGTTCATCAACTTCAACCTCAACTATTGGCTATCTTCTTCCCGGGTTTCATTTTTTTATTTATTTATGAGATGATGTGTAGCTAAGCTATTTAATCGATGGTTTTGGATATAGTCGCCGTACCATTTAATTTAATTTACTTTATGATTGTGACTTTTTCATTAGTTGATATTTAATATTCTTGTTTTTATTCCATGTGAGTATTTGATCACCACTTGTATGCTTTAAAGGTCTTTAACTGGAGGAACGACGGTTGAAGGTTAGCACTAATTCATGAAAATATTAGATTTAGATAATGAGCCACGACAGTAGTAATACCGCATTTGCAACTAGAGATTCTAAAGTTCTTAATGAATTTTTATTAATCCCTATAGTCACGATTGTAGTCATAGAGTTAGTTTAAGTAAGAAAATTATATCACGACAGTGAATAATTCTTAAATAGGTGAATAGTTGTGAGATTAATAAAAGTCCAAAGTCACATATTAATAGATTAAATTAAACTAAGTAGTCGGTTGGTGAACTCTTTGTCCTAGGTTTTCTTTATTTGTTTACATCTTAATTAACTTGTTAGTTTTAGGAATAGTTTAATTTAAAATCATTATTATTAGATGTCTAAATAATAGTAAGAAATAATTTTAACCTGGTACATGGTATACTTCTCTTTAGGATCGACCCTGCTTACTACTTTACTGCTAGTAATTATATTAAATAGGTAATTTATATTTGACTAGCATGACGACGGCTTGTCAAATTTGGCACCGTTGTCGGGGAAGGCGATATCTAATATCGAAACTAGATTATTTCTTTTATTAATTTAGATTTGTTTATATTTTTCTTTGTTTATTAATTTTTTTATATTTTTTATTTATAATTTTATTCATTTTTCTTTCTTGTATCTACATTTTTGTAGGATCTGGAGCTGTTATGGAGAATTTTAATTATAGATATGGAGAGACTTCATATTATAGTTATGATTCTGAATATGGAGACTATCCTACAAGAAGATCCGTACTCTTGGAATAATTCCTCTTATGATCCTTACTATGGGTGTTATTATCCAGGATATATTCATTTGATGCTAAGTATAATTTTTGTTTTGAGAGTCCCCATATGAGTTCTGATATGTTGTCTCGTTTGAAAAGAATTGAAAAATTGATGATCGACAACAATAAGAATAATGGGACAACTTTCTATCAAGATAATTGTTACCACTCAAATGTATTTGTAAATCAACTCCTATTTTCTCAACCCCCTCTGAGAGAGTTAGCAGCTCGTCAACCTACTATAAGAGAGCTGGCAACCTTACAGTCATCACCTTGTCAACCCACTGTGAGAGAGTTAGGATCGTCGAATAAGTACTCACCTACTCAACCTCAATTTACTGTTAGAGAGGCAGCTCTTTGAGAATTGCAAAGTGAAAAAGGCCAACAACTGATTGAAGAAGTCAACCAATATAGGTTGAGTGTAGGGTTGCCGAAACTTGATCCTATAGGAAATTTGCTTAAATTGAATAAGAATGAGAAGATTTCTGAAGATGATACATTGGTCCAGCTCCCCAGTTACCATCTCAAACTGAGCTTGAATGTGAAGAATTAGAAGAGACCGAAGAATTTAAAAGTCCAGACATTCCAGGTTCTCCAGATTCTTCTGGAATATACATTGTAGTCAAGCATGATTCACTCATTCTGAGAGTTGGTGACAAAGATGTGGATCAAGTTGATTTCACTGAGCAGAACATTTCTATAGTTCCAAAAGAAGGGTTTGAAGTAGGCAAATTTGGTGAGGTTGTCCCGGGTATAGTAGATAGTGTGGATGATGCGAAAGATTGTTCAATGAAAGACTAAGAAGAGGATCAATGATACAAAATTGAATTTGAGAAAGAGAATATAGTGGTCTTAAAGTATAAGTTTATATTTTCTCATGGCAAGAAGAGCCACTACAATGAGATGGGTATTTTGACTGATCAGCCATAAAGTCTGGCTAAAGACTTTAAAACAGCCCTTATTGGGATGCAACCCAACATTTTAGTTTACTTTCTTTTATTTTATTTCATTTAATTTTGCAGATAAGTTGATGGTCGGCGGCTACTCTGGAACAAATGGTGATGGAAAATGCTTGGATGGCAGTTGCAATGGATCCTCCACTCCTCTTCTTCAAAAATTTCGGTTCTGCACTTCACATTCCCAAGGTTGTGTCGTTTCTTTTCATATTTTTTTAGTTCTCTTTTCTTTTCTATTCACTTGGTTGCTTTGTCTTTTGTATTTTATACATTGAGAACAATGCATACTTTAAGTGTAGGGGAGGAATATATGTGTTTTGTGTTTTGTGTTTATTTTTCAAAAAAGAAAAGAAAATTTTAAATAAATAAAAAAATGAAAATTGAAAAATCAAGAAAAGGCCTAGGATGAGTATGATTTAATTATCTATATCATGTAAGAATTAGACTATTTTGAATTGTATTGCTTAACTTATGTATTTCTGTATGTTGCTTTGAATACCCACATTTCTATGCACTTAGTCGTGACTGTGGGATAAACGTAAAGTGAGATATAGTTACATGAGTTTGATGTAGATATGCCATGAAATGTGTGTTTGATTAACTTATACCTATATGATTTGTCTGTGGAACCCATCATGTTGTAAAAGAAAAGCAAGGCATTAGCCTAATATCAGCCTTAAAAATACCTTCTTGCTTTGACAGTTTGTGTTAAGTAAGTTTGGGGGAGGGGTGTTGGCGGATGCTTTTGAGCTTAGGTTAAATTTAATGAGCCAGAAAAGGAAAAGCATTCCATGTTGATGCTAGCACCATTGAGAGGTGAGGAATTGGCAATCTGAGCAGAGAGTCCTCAGACCCGGTAAGGAAAAATAGATATGTAGATTGCCCTAAGTTACTGGGACACTATGCAAAGGAGTGGAAAAATGCTCTGGGTAGGGGGCCTGAGTGGGAAACAATTCTGAAGAAAAGCCACATGGACCGAAGAAAGGGTTACGAGGGAGAATAGGTTGTCTGTGAGATAAATCCTTCTACTCCATAATATGCATGGAGCTCCATTATATTGAAATATGGTATGAAATGTAAGTCTGTTATTAAAGTGTTAATATATTGCATATTTGCAGTAAACCTTATATTTTCTGTGTTGAATGTAAAGTGAAGTTCCTAAGAAACGAATCGCACACACACAAAAGCGTGGGGGCCAAAAGTGATTATGGTTTGCATATTATTATGTAGTGCATACTAGATGTAGTCAAGACCTTTGTGAGACACGATGTTAAATCTCTGAGACCGCTAAATTAAGAGAATTTAATATGTTTTGTGTGTTTAATTCTTGGGAATGCTTGAGAACAAGCAATTATTCTAATTTGGGGATATTTGATAAGTATTAAATTAGATATATTTTTATGCCCTCTTCGTAGTAGTTTTAATAAGAATTTATCTTTTCAAATTGAATTTGATGCTTAAATTAATTAATAATAATGTATAGGAAATAAATTATTTTTATGAAGATAAATGATGAATTTTTGAAGTTTTAGACTTGATTGAAGATGAAATTAACCTTGGAGGAGGAAGAGTGAAGGAGCTTAGTAATCAAGGGACTAAATTTGGAATGAAGCCATTTGATTCGTGATTTCGGCCGAGACAATCAAGTGAATGCGATTAATTGGTGGGCTGATTTGGAGCTCAAGCAAATCAACGGGGTGGGCTGTTTCTTTTGTTAAAATAAATAGGACAAGATTTGGACCATATAAAGGAAGCCCATACTTGTTATTTTGGTTGCACTTTTGAAGGTTTTGTTGCTGGACGAAACGGAAAATAGAAGAAGTTTTCAGCGTGGCGGTGCTCCTGAAATCTTTGATTTCGGTGGAAGTTTTATTCTAATTAAACTAGTGATGTTCGCCTGGCCCAGTCTATACTTAATTTTAGAGATTTTTAATAGTTTTGTAATAAGTTTCATCCGAAAGGTATACGCTTAAAACAAAATTGATACTTTGTAACAAAA